ATCACGCTTAAAGTATTCAGGACGTAGAGGAAACAGATTAACAAAAGGTCAAGTTGGCGGCTGCAAAACCGAAGGAGAGAAAAAATGAAACAAATTTGTTAATATTAAAAACAACAATTTATTGTTCCTAAAAGTTTTATCTGCAGAGAAGCTGAGAAAGAGAGAACGATAGAGAACCTTCCGATGCAGACGAATAATGTCTCTCCTTGCTTTTCGTCTTCTCTTTCGACTTCCTATCTGTTCCCATTTTTTTCAACAAAAACCAGACAGGAACAGGGAATCACGAGTCTTCTTTTCCTCTTTATAAATGGAGCCGGTCCGAACCGGGTCGAGCGGAAGATAGAAAGACGTCTGGACCAAAACCGGATTATTTCATATTTGGTTCGATTTAGTATAGATTGGATTCTGGTCCGGCCCAGATCGAGTAGGACCGTTTAATTTTTTTAATGTATGTTTATTTGATTTTTTAAACAAATTGATAAATAAATCACGTGAAAAATTAAGTATATTTAATCAATATATATATATATATATTTCGTAGAATGATTTACATATAAATTAGTAAATAAATCAAATAGTAAATTAATAAAATATTTAATCAATAAATTAATTGAATCAAATATATATGAACATAATTATTAGGAAAAATAGGGAAATGACTAATGCTTTCTTAATCGATAAGAATAAATATACAATTTTTCATATATATATTAAGGAGTAACGATGTACTCTCTTAAAATGTATAATGAATATATCTTAGAAAGTAATAAAAAAAAAACGAGAAGAAACAAATTCAGTGAACAAATCAACTAATTGATACTTTGATATAAGAAGAAAGAACTCAATCAAACCAATCTTTCCTTTTCACATCTCGAGATATGATAACAAATCGAGAGGCTCGAGGATAAAGAATTTATAGAGAAATTTTATATTTTTTGTGGTTATCCTTCTGATAACCTATTTGTATCATAACTTCTTATTTGTATGTATAAATAAAAAAAAGAATTAATGAAAGTTTAATTATTGAACCATTTTAAATGACTTACTATTTTAGGAATAAAACGACAATTTATTTTGATATATTTAGTCATTTCATATAAAGCAGAATTAGTTGCAATGTAAATTATAATTTGATTATTATAGAAGATTATTGCAGGTGCATCCAAATGAACGCCGAAGACAAAAAATAATTATTGAATTCAAATAAGTTCACTAGTAATGGCACTAATGCTTAGTACTCAATTTTTTCGCAGACAATCTTTACACAGTAAATTGCTTATTAGCTTGTTAGGAAACCAAGGAGCCCCCTAGAGAAATATAGAAGTTAGTAGCTGACTTTCGAGAATTAGTGTAGGTAGTGCAATTAACATTTGATTAGCCTAGAGATGAAAATGAGAATTTGCAAAAAAAAAAAAAAATAGAGATCGTAATCTAACTTATTCTTAAGATAATATAATAAATAACGAGTAGATTTGAGATAATGTTCACTTGACTTGGAGACAAATTAACTCAACTTTTAAAGTAAAAAGATTATATATGGTTTAAAAATAACTAAATAGAATAGGTGCCCGATTAAACAACGAAACTAAGAATAATCTTCAAACAACTTAGCATCAGAATTATTGAGAGAAAATTTGAGATGCACTGAGAATTTAGAAGACTTGACAGAGAGAAAATTAGTGTTTTGCAATACCTGTAATACATAATGTCAGTGAGAGAGATTATACTTTTAGGTGAAAGAGTTATCTCCAATTCTAAAAAATATCTTATAGTTGTATAAATCCTTAAACTTACATTAAATGTAAAGAAATATTTTGACAACTTGAAGATGATCATTTCCTTTTGTAAAGAAGAATAATCGACTTTGAATAAGAACAATGACTTGATTGTTATTTTTTGTTCAAATATTAGTCTTGAACTTTCAACTAAAATCTAAATAAACGTTTGAAATAAGAACACGGCTAATCACATTAAATATAGTACGCATGAATATTGAATGTGTAAATTTTCTTTTTACATCGATGCCATATGAACATTCACGTCCACGTATCCGTCATGTGCATATCATGTAAAGTTTTGTGTATTCTGTTTAGGTCGAGAAGTCAGTAAATAAGAAAATTTTATATATTTTTTAGACTTGTTTAAAAAATTTATAATATTTTAAAAAATTCAGTATTCACTACTATTTGTTCGTAAATTTATTAATAAATTAATTTTAATTTTAAAATTTTAATATTAAATAAGAGATAACAATTATGAAACATAATTAGAACTACAAAAAAAAAAAAAAGCTAATAAAATAACAAAAGTGTTATGGTACCGTTACATTAAATATTACTGACTTAATATTGTAGGAGTAAATTAAAGAATTGATTGAAACTATAATGGAAATATTTGAAATGCGAATATAGACACATAGAGGTGTGATTATAGTACTGATTCACTTTCCAATAGGAGTAATCCCAAAACAGGAAAAGGAAAGCTAATATATGCTTGTGAATTTATTTTCCTTATTCGTTATCGAGGTATATAGATACGAAATATATATTATACATACGTACAAACCACATGTATCTATATATAAACCATGGAGATCTTGTTAGTGATCAATTAGGGTTTGAACAAAATGCCAGTAATAGGAGGGCTTTCCCGGCTGTTCATGGACGAAGATCACCGTCGCAAAAAGCAAGAGAGAAAGAAAGATTGTGTTGAAAACAGTAACACAGAGAAACAAACAGACGGTGGAGGGAACAGCGCAAACGGCGACGTTTTGGTTGAAGGCTGTCCGAGTAAAACGACGTCGTCGAGTGGTTTCTCGATGATTCCACTTCACTATCCGAGCTACACGGAGGAGGAGTACGAGAAGATGGCGGAATGGGAGGTTGACCGGCTACTGGCGTTGTACGGCCTGCCGACGGACGGCGACTTGGCGTACAAGAGGGAGTTTGCGGTGGGTGCGTTCGTCTGGCACCCTCGTCGTCAACATGATGGTCAACGCGATCAAACACAGGCTTCTTCTGATAATAAGAAGTCTAATTTTTATATTTTCGAGAAATTATATTCTTCTATTATGCATGGTTTTTTGCAGAGACTGCGACTGTATTTCTCTTAATTAATTAGCTTTGCACTACAAATGGGTGCATGTATAATTAATTAAAGATAATTTATGATTAATAATAACTTATTCATTAATCTCCAATAATTAATTTTTTAGTTCAATATATATATATATATATATGCACACTTTTCATCAATTTATGCTCCATTTAAATTTTTGAATGTATTATTTTTGTACTACGGGGTATAAATTTTTGAGTAACACTTGAAAAAATACCCTGATATTTTAAAAATTGAAATTGATTATTTTTCTAATTGCATTATTTATTTTTTATTTTTTGATGTATTATTATTTAAAACCTAGATAAAATATTATTGTAATTATTTAAATAATACTTTTATAAAAGCTTCTAATAATTTAAATTATTCTAAAAATTCATTTTTTTTATCTTTTTTTTTAAATTTTAAAATAAAAAGATCCGTACATGACTTATAGCACTATAGCTATTTTCTCCTTTCAAAAATAATGTAAAAACTATATGTAAATCCGCAATTAACTTTAAAGAATATATCAATTATATTAAAATAACGAAACTGGAAATATATTATTCTAATTTTAAATAAAATTTCATGTGAAATTATTTTATGTAGCACTCGTGTACGTACACCATTTTGCAAGTAAACATAAGTACGAAGTTACAAATAAGTTTCATACAAATTTTTTATTATATACATATAATCGAAATAATATTTTGTTCAGGATTCAAATCCTTGCGTAAGGCCGTTCAATTTGTTGGTTGACTTTTTAATGTCTTGGCTGTCTCTGTTCTTCTTCTTCTTCTTCCCTTCTTTTTTCTTTCAGCTTTTATTTTTACCTCTTACCTGGCTCAAAAGATTTGATCACTCGAGTAAAGAAATGGCTATAGTGGTGAAAAAAAAAAATGGGTGTTTCTTGTTCTGGTTGTTGTGGTAGCTCTGCTGGTCTCTCCGAGAACTCCAAAACATGGCCATGACCGGATCCCATTTTCTTTTACTCGTATTTTTGATCCAGCGAATTCAACAGGTTTCCTTCGAAATGACGGCGACGAGAGTATTTGTTTTCTGTTATCTTTCTGTGGTTGTTCATCTTGTTATCATTTCTTTCGTTTTACTTCTTATATTTCTTCACAATGATCTCTAGTTTTCTCTGGCCTATCTTTATTCTTCAATTTCTCACTTAAATTTTCTTTATTTGTAAATTATTTACGGGACAAGTTTAGTTTAATTGCTATTCATCCTGCACCAATTGTTATCAGAGATTAATCAACATCCAGCTAATTGGGGAAAAAAAAACCAGAATATATACTAGTTACTTAGTTGAATTACGCAACATGAAAAATCAAATATGAAAATATGGCGAAGATGATAAGTTATACTTTGTTCTGCACTTATCAAAATAATAAGGCACTGAGTATACCTGCCATCTTTGACAATATATCTGACATCTTAGACTTCTTCCTGTCTTCTCAGAAAAAAAGAATCATGCGTGTTATGGATTAACCAAATTTTTTGGGAAAAGAATCCGCAAATGGATGTAGTTTTGATTGTAAGCCTGAAAATGAGTCACTTAACGAAGAGAAACAAACAAAGACGCTGAAATCAAACGGCAAGAATACGCAATTGACTTATCAAATTGGAAGTAAAAGCGACTCAAGATCCAGATGAGAATCAGAAAACTGTAAGAACATAATTTTAAAGAAAGTACAGGCAAGAAGAAACCTGAGAAAACCTTACATGAGAACAAAAGAAGTACCGAAAACAGGAAATTACAGACCCTTGAAATGTCAGTAACCACAGGAATTTTCAAGAAAACAAGAAACCACTATCACAAAATACAAGAAGCGGAAAGAAAGAAACCACAATCCAGAATAGCGAAAAAAAAATGAAGGAAATGACAAAAAAGAAGAAGCACATTATAGTACGGTATAGATACCTAATGACGCAGCCATGAAAAAGAAGCCTCAAGAAAGCAGCGTATATCTCTCTGTGCTGTGCGTAGATTCGATCCATCGTTGACCTCACGATGGCCTCTACTTGAGGGCAAGTATCGCGATAGTAATCGTATTGGAGACCGGAATCCAAAACTGGCGGGTCCAAGTAAAATGCTTTCGTCACCGTCATTTTGAAAGAAACCTGTTGACTTCGCTGGATCACGAATCGGTAAAAAAGAAAACCGGACCCCGTCATCGTCATGTTTTGGGGTTCTCGGAGATAGCAGCAGAGCTACCATGGCAACCGGAACAAGAGACATTCCATCTTTTCACCGATATAACCATTTCTTTACTCAGATGATCAAATCTTTTTAGCCAGGTAAGAGGCAAACAAAGCTAAGAGCGAAAAGAAGGGAAGAAGAAGAAGTGAAAAGAGAGCCAAAGACGAGAGAGTTAGAAGAAATTAGTTACGTTCACAAAGATAGAAGAGAGAGCGAATGAAGAAAACAACCAGACACGAGAGGGGGGGAGGGAATATATAGAGAAACGACGGAATTACCCCTGCCAACTGGAGTTTGTTACAACTAAGTCCACCGTCATCGAACTTTACTATAATAATAATAATAATAATAATAATAATAATTGATGGAAATATATATATATATATATTGAACTAAAAAATTAATTTATTGAAGATTAATGAATAAGTTATTATAAATCATAAATTATCTTTTAATTAATTATACATGCACCCATTTGTAGTGTAAAGCTAATTAATTAAGAGAAATACAGTCGCAGTCTCTGCAAAAAACCATGCATAATAGAAGAATATAATTTCTCGAAAATATAAAAATTAGACTTATTAGGAGAAGCCTGTGTTTGATCGCGTTGATCATCATGTTGACGACGAGGGTGCCAGACGAACGCACCTAAAGCAAACTCCCTCTTGTAAGCCAAGTCACCGTCCGTCGGCAGACCGTACAACGCCAGCAGCCGGCCAACCTCCCATTCCGCCATCTTCTCGTACTCCTCCTCCGTGCGCGTCGGGTAATGAAGTGGAATCAATGAGAAACCACTCGACGACGTCGTTTTACTCGAAAAGCCTTCAATCAAAACGTCGCCGTTTGTGCCGTTCTTTTCACCGTCTGTTGGTTTTTGTGCGTCATTGTTTTCAACTGCATCGTTCTTTCTCTCTGGTTTTTTGCGGGTTTGGCGATCTTCGTCCATAAACAGCCGGGAAAGTCCTCCTATTGCTGGCATTTTGTTTAAGCCCTAATTGATCACCAATGAGTTCTCCATGGTTATTATATATACATATATATATATATATATATATGGTTCGTAAGTAATATACAATATATATAGTTCGTATAACGAATAAGGAAAATAAGTTCAGAGGCATATATATATTTAGTTTTCCTTTTCTGGTTTTGGGATTACTCATATTGGAAAGTAAATCAGTACTATAATCACAGCTGTGTGTGCCTGATTGGCATCTCAAATATTTCTATTATAATTTCAATTTTGTACAAAATCAATTATTTGAATAAAATATAAATTCTCTAAATAACTATTATAATATTAAGTCATAATATTTAATGTAATGGTATCTTTACACTTTTATTCTTTTATTAATTTTTTTTGTAATTATTATGTTTTGATTTTTAAGATTTTTTTTTTTTGTAAATTTTATCTCTTAATTGAAATTAAAATTAAAAATTTTAAATCAAAACCAATTTATACAAACAAACAGTAGCAACTACTGAACTTTTTCTATTTCCTTTTTTCTCTCGAAAATATTATAGCTTCACGAAACACACACTCATGGTGTCTATGTGGACATTCATGTAGCGTCTACATAGAAAAAATATATTTAATGTCATTAGTTCTGTTTTTATCTCGTAAGTTTACTTGGATATTATTTAAAAATTTAATGTTAATTTTAAAAAAAAAAACTTAAAAATTATTTATAATATTTTAATATAGTACAAGATGCATTTTTGTATTTTATTTTATTATTTTAATATAAAAATATCGGAATGCAAGAATAAAAAAAAACATTCTCTTTTTTCTCTAAGCTTCAAAAACAAAACGCGAACATTTTTCTTTTTTTGTTTTTATTTAAAGTCGACTATTCTTTGTTTACCAAAGAAATCGATCATTCTTTTATGGTTGTCTTAGAATATAATGATAACATAGTAATAAAAGATATTTCATTAGATGTTATTCAAACTGTTAAAATATTTCTTTACATTTAATTTAAATTGAAAGATATAAACACTATAAAATATTTATTAAAATTGGAGATAACTATTTCTTTTAAAAGTATTAATCTCTCTCACCGACATAATGTATTACAACTATTGTAGGACATTGACTTTCTCTTTGCTTCGTCTGTTGAACTGCCGATGGATTCCAATTTTTCTCTTAATAATTCTGGTGGTAAGTTGTCAGAAGATCCTTTTGAGCTTTATTTTTTAATCGGACACCTATTATATTTAGTTCTCTTCAGACCATATATCATGTTTATGATTGATAAGTTGAGTTAATTTGTCTTAAAGTCAAGTGAACATTATTTTAAAACTATTCATTATGTACTATGTTATCTTAAGAATAAGTCATTCTATGGTCTCTACTTTTCTGCTAATTCTCTTTTCCATCCTTAAACTTTTCAAATGCTAATTAGATTACTTGCACTAATTCTCAAAAGTCTATTACTAGCTTGTATATTTTTCTAAGTAATTCCTTGATTTCTGGGTGAGTTAAGAAACAATTCACTGTGTCAAAACCATATGCAAAGCTGAACGTTAAATTTTAATTGCCACTACCAATGAACTTGCTTGGATTAGTAATTGCTTTTTGGCTTTAACATTCATTTAGATACTCCTGCAATAATTTTTTTGTGATAAGCAAGTTACAATTTACATTACAACAATCATCTACAGAAGTTAAGTGTTGAACTTTAGTTACGACTGTTAGTAAATTTGATGAGATTTAGTAATTGTTTTTTGACCTTGGTGTTCATTTACAGATACCAACAACAATCTTTTGTAATAACCAAGTTATAATTCACATTACAACTAATCCTACTTCTCATGAAGTGGCTAAATAAATCAAGAAAGATTATCATTTTATTCAAAAAAGAGCATGCCATTTGAAATGGTTCAGCAATTAGAGACCTTCACGAATTCTTTTCTTTTTTTTTTTTCATGAAAGATGAAAATCCTTAAAGTACCAACTAATATAAGAGGAGTGATATTAGGCTATCTTTTTTTTTTTTTTTTTTTTTTTTTTATATAAATGAAAAGTCATGATACAACGATGATATCAAAAAGATTACCATATATAGCACAAAATTTTTCTATTAATTCCTTCTCGACTACTCTCTCAATCTGTTATTATATTTCGGGAAGTAAAAAGAAAAGGTTGATTTGTTCGAGTTCTTACTTTTTAGAACCCAATATTAATTAGCTAACTTGTTCACCAAACCCGTTTTTTTTCCTCTGTTTCTGTTTCTCCTTTCTGTTTAAATTACCATTCATGTTATTCATTATCCATATTGAGAAAGAATATTAAATTAATTAAATAATTTAGTTTAATTATAGCTAACTTAATTACTACTCCTTAATATATATACATAGATATATATGTATATATATAACAGTTATATACTTATTCTTCTTGATTAAGACAATATTAGTCATTTCCCTATTTTTCCTAATAAGTTGTTCTGTTCATATATTTTTAATTTAATTAATTAATTAATTAAATATATTATTACTTTACTATTTATCAATTATATATATACTACTACTCATTTATTAGTAAAGTTTTTTTTAACGTAAACGTGGTAGTAGTAAATAAACAAAATTTATAACGACTTACTGCTGACGCTAGACTTAGTTGTAACAAACTCCGGTTGGCGGGGTATTTCCGTCATTTCAGTATTATTCCTTTCCCGCTCTCTTGTCTGCTCGTCTTCCTCCTCCGCGCGTTCTCTTCTATCTCTGTTAACGTAACTAATTTCTGCTAACTCTCTCGTCTCTGGCTCTCTCCGTTTCACTTCTTCTTCCTCCCTTCTTTTTCTTTCAGCTTTGTTTTACCTCCCACCTGGCTAAAAAGGTTTGATCGTTTGAGTAAAGAAATGGCTATATCGGTAAAAAAATGGATGTTCCTTATTCTGGTTGTCGTGGTAGCTCTGCTGCTGTCTCCGAGAACTCCAAAACATGGAGATGAGAGGATCCCGTTTTATTTTGTACCGATTTTTGATCCAGCTAAGTCAACAGGTTTCCTTCAGAGTGACGGTGAAGAGAGCATTTTCTTGGACCCGCCAGTTCTGGATTCCGGTCTCCAGTACGATTACTATCGCGATACTTGCCCTCAAGCAGAGGCCATTGTGAGGTCAAAAATCGCTCGGGTCTACGCAGAGCACAGAGACATATATGCTGGTTTCTTGAGGCTTCTTTTCCATGACTGCTTCATTCAGGTATTTAAATACCGTATTATAATGTGCTTCTTCTTTTCCATCGTCTGGATTATGATTTCTTACTTTTCTCTTGTTTTATTTTATGATAATGGTTTTTTATTTTCCTGAAAATTCCTGTGGTTACTGACATTTCAGGGGTCTGCAATTTCCTGTTTTCGATATTTCTTTAGTTTTCATGTTAGATTTTCTCAGGCTTCTTCTTGTCTATACTTTCTTTAAAACGATGTTCTTACAGTTTTCTGATTCTCATCTCGATGTTGAGTTGTTTTTACTTCAAATTTGATGAGGTCAATCGCTTATTTTTGCCATTTGATTTCAGCGTCTTTGTTTGTCTCTTTTTGTTAAGTGACTCATTTTCATGCTTAGCATCAGGCCTATAATAATTGGTGGATCTTTTTTCCAAATATTTTGTTAATTTGGATACCGGTACTATCTAGTCGATTCCAAATTTGACATTCTTGGTTTAAGTTTTTCTGGTATTTAATTAATTTAATCTGATAGATTTGGTAGACATAAATCTGAAAATTTCCGGGGTTTAGAATTACTGATGATTGAATGATACCCCTACTTCAGCTTGCATATTAACATTGTTTTCCTTTCTGGGTTCCATCTATCAGGGCTGTGATGCTTCGATATTCTTGAATGACAGAAATGAAGAAAGGAACCGCTCTGCCGAGCGTCAGGCTGTGCCTAATAAGAGCTTGAGAGGCTTTGATCAAATCGATTGGATTAAGGAGGAACTGGAAAAAGCTTGTCCAGGGGTGGTTTCATGTGCTGATACTCTTGTACTTGCCACTAGGGATAGCCTTGCTCTGGTTTGCACTTCATCCTTCCTTTCTTCTATGTGAATATCTATCTTTTCCAGCATTCTATATCGGATAACGTACGGAAATTGCAGGCTGGGGGACCAGTGTATCCAGTGTTCACAGGCAGGAGAGACAGTACTGAGTCTTACTATGCTGAAGCAATGACTGAGCTTCCAAGACCTGATGGGAATATTACGGAGACACTTGGGCTGTTCAACTTAAGGGGTTTCGGTGAGAGAGAAACAGTCACTCTTTTAGGTACTGGCTAATTCATTTCTTTTTTTTCAAATTTAAATAATAGAGTTGAATTGATTATTCCAAATATCTAACAGCTACTTAAGCTGGAACTAATTAATATAAATAGTGAGTATAATTCAAAAACAGAAATTTCTGGTTCTATGAATATTAATTTAGTTGATTATCTCAGAATTTAAAGGATAAAAGTAACTCAATCTATTATTTTATTTGGGTAGGAACCATCATCAGTAAAATTGAACTCAAACACTCTTAATAGAGTGGTCGGAAGTATGATCACTGGCTGTATGAATTAATCTATTATTTATTCATTAATAAGTTTTTGTTTTGGATTAGTATGCTTGGTGTTCAGCTAATATTGACTTACTGTGTTTGAAGGAGCACATAATGTTGGAAAAATTGCTTGCCAGTTCTTTCAGAGTCGACTCTCAAACTTTTTCGGGACAGGTCAACCGGACCCAACAATTCCTTCTGATTTTCTGACTGACTTGAGAAGCAAATGTGCAGTAAATGACAGCACCAATAAGAGGAGAAGCAACATTGAGTCGAGTTTGGGGACAAAACAAGGAGTATCATCAATTTCAGTGTCATCTGGTGATGTGTTTGACACTCACTATTATCAGAGATTGCTAAGAGGGAGAGGGATTCTCTTTGCTGATCAACAGTTGATGGCTGACGAGAGAACTGCAAGATTTGTGAGGACTTATGCCTCGGATGATGGTTCTATCTTTAGAAGGGAATTTGGTAGGGTTATGGTTAAGTTGTCTAACCTTGGTGTCTTGACTGGTAATCAAGGGGTTATCAGGGTCAATTGCTCTTTGCCTGTCGATCATATTTTTTGACTGTCTTTCAATTTACTATTTTTTCTTTTATATTTTACTTCAACATAAGGACTTGGATTGAAGAGTTTTTCTTTATCAGCCGAATACGGCAGACATCTTCGTGGAATCGTTTACTCCGTAATGAAATTTCGCTTTCATTACTTCGTTTGGTTCTCATACGCACACGAAAAAGATTTATTTTTTGCGAATTAGTTTGGTAGCATTGATAGTTCATAAATTTAAACTAATATCCAAACGTTTACATTGATTTGAGAATCCTCTTAAAATTATAAAATGCTTTTATGTGGAACTTTGCGGTGTAAATAAAGAAAGGGGCCGA